TGATTTATTGTTGTCACATGTACTGAGATACAGTGAAAAGTGTTGTTTTGCATGCTATACAGGCAGATCATACCATACGAAGTGTATCAGGGTAGCAGAACCGAGTGCAGAATACATTTTACAGCCACAGAGTAGGTACAGAGAGAGAGATCAGAATTAGCATTTGAGAGGTCTATTCAAAAGTTTGATAACATTGGGGAAGCTGTTCTTGAATCTATTTGTACTTGTATTCAAACTTTTATATCTTCTGCCCAATGGAAGAGGGTGGAAGAGTGTATAAACAGGGTTGGCGGGATCTTTGATTATGTTGGTTGCTTTTCCGAGGCAGCAGGAAATATAGATGGAATCAACAGATCGAAGACTGGTTTGCGTGATGGACTGGGCTGTGTTCATAACTCTGTGTAGTTTCTAGTGGTCTTGGGAGGAGCAGTTGCCATACCATGCTGTGATGCATCCAAATAGCACGCTTTCTACGATGCATCTACAAAAATTGTGCGTAATCCTTGAGGACATGCTGAATTTCCTTAGCTACCTAAGGAAGTAGAGACATTGTTGTGCTTTCTTGGCTGTTGTGTTGTTGTGGGGGACCAGGACAGATTGTTGGTGATCATCACTCCCAGGAACTTGACGCTCTCGACTATCTCCACTTCAGCATCATTAATGCAGACAGGGGCATGTCCTCCACTCTGCTTCCTGAAGCCAATGACCAGCTCCTTTGTTTGTTGACATTGATGGAGAGATTGTTGGCTTTACACCATGCCGCTAAGCACTCAATCTCTTTCCTATTCTGTCTCATTGTTGCTTGAGATCCAGCCTACCATGGTGGTGTCATCAGCAAACTTGTAAATGGACTTGGGGTGGAATTTGGCCACACAGTCGTCAGTGTGTAAGGTGTGTAGTAGGGAGCTGAGTATGCAGCCTTGCGGGGCACTGGTGTTGAGAATTATGGTGGAGGAAGTGTTGTCACCTGTTCTTACTGATTGGGGTCTATCGGTCAGGAAGTCAACGATCCACTTACAGAGGGGTGAGCCGAGACCTAGGTCTCAGAGTTTACAGATGAGTTTGTTTGGAATTAGAGTGTTGAAGGTGGAGCTGAAGGCAAAAAGTAGGGGTCTGACGTAGGTATCCTTGTACTCCAGATGTTCCAAGAATGAGTGTAGGGCCAGAGAGATGCCATCTGCTATGGACCTGTTGTGCCAGTAGGTGAACTGCAAAGGATGAAGGCAATTAGGTGGGCTGGAGTGGATGTGATTCATGACTACCCTCTTGAAGCACTTATGGAGGTCAGAGCCACTGGGCGGTAGTCATTGAGGTACGGTGTATGATTTTCCTTTGGTACTGGTTTTTTGAAGTAAGTGGGGACTTCAGATTGAAGTAAGGAGAGGTTAAAGATGTCAGTGAATACTCCTGGCCATCTGGTCCACACAGGATCTGAGTGCATAGCTGGGAACTCCATCTGGGTCAGTCGCTTTCAGTGGTGCACTCTCAATAAGTCTGACCTAACGTCTGTGGCGGTGATCATGGGTACAGGTGCATCCGAAGCTGTTGGGACAGGTGCCATTGTTTCACTGACCTTCTGTTCAAAGTGAACATCGAATGCATTGAGCTCGTCAGTTTGGGATGTGCTGTTGCCAATTATTCTGAACCTCGCCGCTTTTTAACCTGTTATGCTGTGTAAGCCTTGCCACAAATAACAGGTGTCCATTTGGTTGGTCTGGATCTCAAGCTTAGTTTGGTATTGCCTCTTGGCATCTATGATGGCCTTACAGATTTCCTGTATAGGTCAGGATTGCCCGAATTGAACGCCTCAGACCTGGAGTTCAGTGGGGAGTGCATCTCCCAGTTCATCCATGGTTTCCGGTTGGGGAACATTCAAATTAACTTCTTTGGCATGCATTCTTCTGTACACTTACTAATGGACTCTATAACGGTAGTGGCATACTTGTTTAGGTTGGGGCCGCTGAGTTGTTGAATATGGACTAGTCCACTGACTGTAAGCGGTCCCATAGAAACCCTTCCATTACCTCAGAACAATACTGCACTGCTTTAAAGTTTTGGAGAAGATTTGTAGCTCAGGTTGTGGATGAGGTTGTAGATTGCTCGCCGAGCTGGTGTGTTTGATTGCAAATGTTTCGTCACCCTGCTCAGTAACATGGTCAGTGCGCCTCCGGTGAAGCATCGGTGTTCCGTCCCACTTGTTATTTATATGAATCGGTTTGCTGGGATGTTGGTATTACTTCTGGGTCTGTTTCTCAGTGGTTTGTACACAGGGTCTAATTCAATGTGTTTATTGATGGAGTTCCAGTTGGAATACCAGGCCTCCAGAAATTCCCTGGCGTGTCTCTGTTCGGCTTGTGCAATAATGGATGTGTTGTCCCAGTCAAATTTGTGTCCCTTGTTGTCTGTGTGTAGTGAGAGAAGTGAGAATTGATTGTGTCTCTTGGTGGCTAGTTGGTGTTCGAGTATCCTTATTGCCAGTTTTCTTCCAGTTTGGCCTATATAGTGTTGCTCACAGTCCTTGCATGGTATTTTGTATATTACACCAGTTTTGCTGGTTTTGGGTATGGGATCCTTTACGTTCGTCAGTAACTGTCGCAGTGTGGTTGTCAGTTTGTGGGCTACTCTGATACCTAGGGGTCTGAGTTGTCTTGTGGTCATCTCTGAAATGTCCTTGATGTATAGTAGGGTGATTAGTGAGTCTGGTCATGTTGTGTTTTCCTGTTGTGGTCTGTCTCGGAGGTAATGGTGGACTGTGCTTTTCAGGTATAAAGCATATTGAGCTCGATGATCAGCCGTGATCATATTGAGTGGCGGAGCAGGTTTGAGTGGTTGAATGACCTACTCCTGCTCCTACCTTTCTACGTTATTTTATTGGAGAAACTGTCTCATGAAAGAGCGAAGAGTGAATATTTAAGGTGGAAGGTGGGGTGTTGATCAAAAGGGGAGGCAATGGCCTAATGGTATTATTGCTAGACTATTAATCCAGAGACCCAGATAACATTCTGGGGACCCAGGTTCGAATCCCACCATGGCAGATGGTGGAATTTTAATTCAATAAATATCTGGAATTAAGGATCTAATGATGACCACGAATCCATTGTTGATTGTCAGAAAAACCCATCTGGTTCACTAATACCCTTTAGGGAAGGAAACTGCCATCCTTACCTGCTCTGGCCTACATGTGACTCCAGACCCAGCAATGTGGTTGACTTGTAACTGCCCTCTGGGCAATTAGGGATGGACAATAAATGCTGCCTAGCCAGTGACGCCCACATCCTGTGAGTGAATAAAGAAAAGAAATGGCTGCTTTGTCCTGAATTGTGTCAAGTAGACAGAATGCAACCCATCCAACACCTTAAATATTCACTTCCTTTTCAATTGGTCTCACCATGTCTGCAGTGCGTACTCTCTGTCAGGTGCAGTGTAGCAATTCACCATAGGTTCTCTGACACCAGCTCCCAAAGGCATGGCATCTATCACCTAGAAAGACAGAGGTGGTGGGAACATCACCACATAAAATTTCCACTCCAAGTCATATGCTAATATGGAAATATATCATTGTTCCTCACCATCAATGCGTCAAAATGGTAGCGCTCTCCGCCTAGCAGCACAGTGAGTGTACCTGCACCAGACTGCAGTGCTTGAAGAAGGCAGCCTACCTCCTAGGCAGTGACACCCACATCATGCGAAAGGACACAAGAAAAAGATGACACTGACTGAGGGCTGTATTGTTGTGTTGGAACCATTTCCACGGAGTGGTCCATTAATTTCTAAGAGGCAGAGCAGGTCACACAAGAATGCATTTCAGCACAGAAAGTGCTGGAGAAACTCAAGCAGGTCCAGCAGTATGGTCAGAACATGGACTCCAAAAATGAACACTGGGGGAATTGGGCTGTGTTTATTGAGTCACACAGCATGGAAACAGACCAGTCCATGCTGAACATAATCCCAAACTAGATCCCTCTAAATCTTAGATAACAAAGTGTAGAGCTGGATGAACACAGCAGGCTGAGCAGCATCAGAGGAGCAGGAAAGCTGACGTTTCCAGTCTGGACCCTTCTTCAGAAATGGGTCTGAAGCATTTCTGAAGAAGGGTCCAGACCCGAAACGTCAGCTTACTGGCTCATCTGATGCTGCTTGGCCTGCTGTGTTCATCCAGCCCTACACCTTATTATCTCAGATTCTCCAGCATCGGCAGTTCCTACTATCTCCCTCTAAACCTCTCCTTGTTCATGTACTTATGCAAATATCTTTTAAACATTGTAGTTGTGCCCACATCCACCACTTCCTCAGGAAGTTCATTCCACACGCGAACCACCCTCTGTGTAAAAAAAATTGCCCCTCATGTCTTTTCTAAATCTCTCGCCTCCCAACTTAAAAATGTGGCCCCTAGCTTTGAAAGTATGTTTAGCTATTTTACAACTTGCGGCATTCAGCATTAATGTTAGGCCTTTAAGTCAGTGGTACAACTACAAAGTGTCCAGTGGTGATCAGAGCTCGTGTCATGGTTTGGAATTGAGAGGGGCTTGAGGATGTTACTAAGAGGCACAGCCCTGGCCCCCAGTGACCGTGGTGTTGTTTTCCTTGGATTTTCAGCAGCGGCAGAGCAAACATTGGAAAGAAGAAGTGGTCCCTTTCAATTTTACACTGAAAAGGTGCAATCGAACGGGAGGAGATCATTGTGATTTTAGGATTTCAATGGGATCAATTTTGAGTGTTCTCTAATTGATCTTAAGCCTAATGACAGAGAAATACTGATTTCGAAACACAGTCACGGAAACTCTCCAGTGACTTATGCACATTGCCGTGCTCCTGATAGAATATGCAACAAGGTTTTAATGAGTTGTATCCTGTGCTTTGTACCTCGTGGCTGCAGTTCGCCTCTGCCACCAATAGTTGGCAGAATCGCTCTCTAAATAAACAGCATTCTCCTGTGCAGAAGGATTTGGTTTATTATCTGCCAGCCCACTGATTCATGTCTGTGGTTGTTATCGTTTATACTTTGCCAAATCCCACAGACAACATATACACATGTTATGGTGGAAACCGACAGAGTTACTTCCTGAATTCCCCTGTCGTGTCAGGCTCGGCTCGACCAGGGAGAGCTGCTACCCACTGAGCTTTCCAACAACAGCCTGGACTTTGAAAATTCACACACAGTAGGCGAAGAGATTCCGGTATTTCCCACAGAACTGAATGCTCATTGCCAACCCACCTTTCAGCTACAATTAAGAATGAACAGAGTCAAGTGGAGCTCTCTCAGTCACCTGATGTAACATCGCCACGGAAATTACAGGAAAGTTTTCGTGGCTGGGAGGAACTGAAATGGCAAAAAACACATCGCTGTATTTTCGTATCATCGAAGGAAGAAATTTACCAGCAAAAGACGTGTAAGTTTCCTGTTTAATCTACCGCTCCTGCAGTGCACTTGGCAAAACAGCAGCTGTACTGAAGAAGTGTCACTGGACCCGAAATGTTAACTCTGTTTTCTCTTGACAGATGCTGCCAGATCAGCTGAGGTTTTCCAGCAATGTCTGTTCGTTTGTTGTCAGTTGTTTTGATGCCGGGTTAAATGCAAATACGATGTGGGTAATGTGCAGATATCTATTATTTGTTGCAGATCTGGCACCAGTGATCCTTACTGCATCGTCAAAGTGGACAATGAGGTGGTGGCCAGGTGAGAGTGTGGCTTTATGATCGTTCAATGCAAGTGCCTATTCGCAAAGACTGTGATTTCCCTGATAATATTTGCATGTGAGCACTTTCCAATTAGTTGCAGTATGGATATGTGTAATTTGTAATGTGTCTCCCAAACTTCATGTTTTCATGGCAACTTGGCTCCTTAACCTGTTGCTTTCAGATGAAAGCGGGAAATACAGCGTGCCAGCTTCTTACTGCATCTCGTGACAAATGCAATCCACGTTATCTTTGCAACGATCTGTTCAGTTTTATTGAACTCTCATTATAGGTGTGAGCAGCAGTACAATGTACAGGTGCACTGGGTTTGAGAGAAGCTGCGGTTCCCATTTCCTCAGTGAAGAGAGCCACGCTGTCATTGAACCTCCACCCTCCCATCACACATGCACACACACTGACACGATGTAACATACACTCTAGAAATACTGCTCTAAACCTGGTGGAAGCCCACTACCTACATGTGTCAAGCTACATAAACACTCAGATCACAAAACGTTCAACAAACCTTATGGACACCCGCCCACCTTTAACATTTCTCTGTTGATTGTGTGAATCAATACAGAACCATTATTCACAATCAATAGTGATCATTGCACAGTGATCAGGGTGATCCCAGGGAGACAACCATCCCTCTAACCTACCCATCTCAATCTTGGATACCAGTGTTGTGTGTATGAGAACAGCCCATTGTTGGTTATGGAATGAATACAATTGGATAACCAATAAATGACCAAAACCACAGGCAGACCAACACTTTCATTCCATAGTACAGCTCTGGGATGAGGGATGTCAAACTGAATCATCTTTTTGGTTGAAAATATTTGTACACTACTCGAATAAAAGTCCTGTACACGTCTGGGGAACTGTTTTGATGCCATTAAATTCTGTGAGAACTAAGTGACTAACAATGAGTCTTGAAAAAGAATTGGTTATTCCCGTGAATATTTTGGTGATATTTTGGGTATACTTAAGGGAGAAGGTTCTGTCAGTGGAAGATCAGCATCATTATAAGTTAAGGACTGGGTAGGATGGAATCAAATGCAACTCCAAACTGAGGGTTGAATTTACGGAAAGTAAAAGTGACAGTGGGCAGACTGTGGTACAAATTGGCGTCAATGTCAGCATGATAGTGAGAGCTTGTGGTATTTACAACTAACTGCTTATGATGACTGACGTTAATGCACATTCATGAGAAAATCTATTGCTATATTCTTTATCCCAAATAAAAAGGTGCATACAGGCTGTCTATGAAATTTGGTCTTTATTTGTTTTAAATGTTTTGATGCATTTCAGTGGCAAATTGCTTATTCTAATGTCAAATTTCAATGTAAATACCATTTCATGGTTCAATTCTCTAAAATATCAGAGTGGAGCTGAAATGTTCTCGTCCAGTTGCCTCAGACTCCACAGTCTGTTTAACAGCAGGAACAACAACAGCAACTTATATTTATGCTGTACCTTAAATGTAAAAAAATGCCCCAAGGCACTTCATAGAAGCTTATAAAACAAAATGTGATTATCCAAAACAAAAACAGAAGTTGCTAGCAAAACGCAGCAGGTCTGGCAGCATTTGTGGAGAGAAAGCAGAGTTAATGTTTCCAGCCTGGTGAATCTTCATTAGAATGTTAACTCTGCTTTCTCTTCGCAAATGTTGTTGGGCCTGCTGTGTTTTGCCAGCAATTTCTGATTTTTGTTCCGATCCTCAGCATCTGCAGTTTTTTGTTTTACTTTAGTGATCATCCAAAGTTTGGCTAAAGACATAGGTTTTAAGGAGTGTCTGAAAGGAGGAGTGTGAGGTGGTGAGATGTAGGGAGGGAATTCCAGAGTTTAGTGTTTAGATAACTGAAGGTATGGCTATCAGTGCTGAGAGAGCGATTAAAATGAGGGACACTCATTTTGTTAGAATTTGACAGGCGCAGATTCCTTGGAGGATCATGGAGTGCACGTTAGATATGGCACCATATGGGGGTTTGTGGTGATTCAGTGACATTGCCACTTCCTCTGGGCCTCTTCCACCAGGACCTCCAAGAGTTGCCAAGAGCCTGTGTACCCTCTCCCTCACCCTGTTTCCTGAAATCCATCACTATATGCCCGTCAGAGCACTTTACACCTTCTGTAGAAGTGGGTGTAAGGAACTCTATTAACAAAAAGTCCATGCGTTCAGCACAGGAGTGCTAAACCTGTGTTAGCATCTCCAGGATGTTCAAGTTATGGTAAATTATATGTTAAATCTAGGCTTTTAAGTAGCACTGTATTTTATTGTTTTTGTTAACCCTGCACCCATTTGGCCAAAATAACTCTCAGTCTCAAACCCAAGGTTCTTCAGGTAGAAAGGGTCATTGGGAATGAAGATTTGAAGTTACAATCTGATCAGCTGTGATCTCATTGAATGGTGCAGAAGGCTTGAAGGGCTGAATGGCCTAGACCTTATTTGTGTAGTTGTAATAATCCAACAGGCATAAACAGTGTTGCCTTTACAGCAGGGGAAAAAGAACATCCAGATCAAAACCAGCCGCTGAGCAGTGCATATTTCTTAATGCTACTCCACCTCTTCCTCGTACCTCAACACCAACTGTGACCACAATCTACTATATCTGATTCATATATCCAGAACTGTACATGTTGCAGTAGTGATATACAAACCTGGTAATCGTCTTGTAATTTTGACCATTTACAATAAGGTTTATAATTCTGAATATCGCAGATGTGTGAAACTAATCCCATACCAGCTCTTGTGTTAGCATCTCTAGGCATGTTCAAGTTATGGTAATCTGCAATGAGGACCAAAATTATATGTTGGTCAGATACCAGATAGATGGCCCTTGGACTCAAGTATGAGGTTATAAAGCAAGGGAGCAGTTCTCTTAATTACTTTGTCGCAAAGTCAATTGAATGAATTATTAATTTTTAAAAATATTCACCATGTAGAGGATTTGTTAGCATTTGGAAATCTCACTCTCAGCAAGGAGTGGAAGCTAGTTTGTTGAATATTCAGGGTTGAACTTGACAGAATTTTGATTAACAAGAAGACCATGATTTTGGGGGAACATGCAGGGCACAAGCAGTTGATCTTATTGAATGCTGCAGCAAACTGGAGAGGCTCAATGGCCTACTCCTGCTCTTATTTCTTAAATATGCCAAGTTTAATTTGTGATTGCAGATTAGTTAATTAAATGTCATGAACATGCACAAAATCTCCATTTATAACACTCGTCCAACTTCAGATAATCTGCAGCTCAGATGTTCACAAGCAACTTCAAAGCCAGCACCTTTGCACCATACAATTTGAGATCCATACTTACAGCTGGCTTAGTGCTGGCTTTGGAACAGTCTCTCCTTTCAAACTATGTCCCAACCCACAATGCACCCACTGGCCTGTGAATTTTTGATCTTTTATTTCAAAAATTGTGTGTTGTTTAATTTTGAATGCCTTCTCTAAATTCACAATCTTTAGATTTAAAGTCAAACATGAGGAATAATGTGATTATTGAGTTTATTCATATTCAGTGTGCCACTGAAAAATAAAATCTTCATTCTTTCAGAAGGTTGTTGAACAGTTACTTCACCTTAACTTCTGGGCACTGCTGCCTGCCTATGAGGCATTGAGTTTATCCTAATCCCAGTCTCAACCTCCGCTGTGTTTGTCCAGAAAGTGTGGCATTTTTCATTCCCAGTACAGACATCAAAGCCATTAAAGAAACTGAGAAGGGAGAGTGAGGAGAGCAGAAGCCCTGTGGTGTCAGAACAACGCATCAGCCAAGAAATTGCATTTCTACCAAGAATGGACTTTTATATTCACGAAATCTGCAGAAACCATTGGGAAACCTGCAGTTATAGTAAAGTAGTTCAAACTAGTAATCCATCCTAAAGCAACAGAAGATGTGACTGTAAATTAGTTGGTGCTCATAAGGCGGTAAGATGCTGCAGAACAAAGCTGGCCTCTAAGTTTTGCTTTTGTGTCATTTTCTGTATGTGATTATAAGTGAACAAAGAACTATCTTCTGCACCCCTATTTTCTGTCATTTATTACTTTTTAGCTCTGAAGATGTGTGCGCATCCTAAACATAGTTTCTATGTCCTCTCTCTAGGTGCTGTTTGACCTCCTGTAGTTCTCCAGGTTTTCAGTTTTTGTGTTTGAGTGAATAAATATTTTAAAATAAGTCCTTAACCTGCGTTGTAATTAGATTTGCTTGAATGATGATTACTAATGATTTTTCAGGGTCCAGCTCCAGTGCCTGGTAATGCATTTCTCATTTACCAAATACTGTCTGATTAGGAAATCCCAGCAGCACAAAGGTCAGTTCTGGATATAAGCAATGAGCTCCAATGAGAAGAACATGGCAAAATAAAACAACCGTGAAAAAAATCAGGAAATAGAGCAGCATAGGAGAACATTAGGAATGGAGTAACAGTATAATAGACATCACAAAATATAGTACCGATGAGAAGATCTTCAACAAACAAATCAGTAATAATCTCATGGCTAGATTCCTTAGTGAGGCAGGTTAGTTGTTCACTGGATCACTTTAATATGATTCACGTCCGTGTGTGTTTGGCAAACAAAGAAGATCAGGTAAAACAAAACTGTTGGAAATACACAACAAGCGTGTTAGCATCTGTAAAGACAAAACACAGGATAATGTTTTGGGTGCAGCTCCTTCACCAGAAGCTGAGAAGCTGGTTGTGAAGATCGAGCAACATAACATTTTCTAATAAACTAAATGCTTCATTCATGAGAAAAATCAATATGTTGCACAGTATCTAGTGAAGTTGAAAGCCATTTGCATCACCTTCACAACTCGCACTTCATCAACAATTAGGATGCATAATTCCAGGCTTCATGCCAGATTAAGAATCTAAAAGGTAGAAGGCAAAGGTTCCCGAAACAGCTTCTCTATCTGCTCCATTACGTTATTAGCATGGCTATAGAGGTTACTTCCAACCAATTTTTATTTGGTGCCAGAGGAGCCTGACATTGAA